GTCAGCTGATTGAAATGTTAAAAGTAACATATTAAGAGACGCGGTATATTAAGGTAAGGATAACCCAAGAAATGCCGTGACCGACAGAACGTCGGAGCCAATTTAGGAATTCCATCTAATCATTATATTTCATAGAACACGCACAATTTCCGTGAGGTTTTTGTCTGGTGAGTTTCTTTCAATACAACTGGTCAACTTTATTTGAAGTGGTAATAATTAGGGTTACGTAAGAAGTACGTGGAAGGCTCGCTACATGTAATTGGGACCACCCGCGGAGCCCTGGGGCCGCGCTGCCGGCTCGGGGGGTAAAACAATGCATTATGCGAATTTAGAGCGCGCTCTGATTAGATAATGTCGTCATAACCAATAATTGTTTCTTTTGAAATGGTCTTCAGTAATTTTCTGCGTTTAGCGTCGCGTCTGACGATTGTATTTTCGTTTTCGCTGCACGACAAGACAAGACAATAGCGTATAGACTAAAAACAGTCGTAATTATGACAAGTAAAGTTGGAATGAGAACAAGGTCCTCATTGACACACACATATTCTGTTATTATTTAGCCTGTGTTCGCATACGAGGACGAAAAAAGAATACAAAGTCTAAATAAATTCCGTAAAATGGCTAATAAACTACACATTCTATAATCTAGAGTTGTTCATGATGAAGTGCTGATTATGAACCAAAAAGCAAGTACTTACTACCTACATATATAGGTATAATAGGTCTTTACCTATGAAATTGCCGTTTTGCATGAAAAAATTTAAACGATTTTTTTGATTTGAAATGCGATGAAAATGTAACACTAATCAATAAACAAACGACTACTTTTGGAAAAAGAATTCCATGTTTTTAAAACAAAATAAATTAGCCTTAGCCTAACAAAAACTATTTTGATTTGAAATGGCCAGTACTGCAGAACGGCAATTTCATAGGTAAAGACCTATTATAAAGTTGATACATGTGAGTTATAAGAAAACTCCCGTGAAAAAAATTTCTTATCCACTATGGAACTCTTACACTGAAAATTAATGTGAATGCCCTAAAAAGCTGTTTTCATACATATGGCAATTACAAACGTATTATACAAGTCAAAAGAACAATTATTGTTAAATATTATACAGTACAAGACCACAAAACCGCAGGGTGTCCAGCGATGGTGCGCTTGACTTCGGTTCGATAATCGACTAAAATCGACATAACCACAAAATAAAAATACTTTAAGTTTAATTTAAATTGTTATGAGCAAAGCCTTTTTATTACTTTGAAATATTCCGAACTGACTTCACTGGCTTCTGGACCAGAAAGAAATCAAAGCCAAATCATTTAATTCAAATAGACCACGATAGCTAGGTACTTTTGAACGTCAAACAAAAAAAAATATCAAAAAGTTTGTGTGTCTATATGTCGATCTGAGAAGTCCAGTGCTATTTGCACGTTCCAAAGTGTAGATTCCAATGTAGAAGAACGAGCAAGAAACTCCATGGTTACTCTATTCACAATTCATTTTTGGTAAGTCGGTTCTATCATGTATGAGATAACAACGTGTGCCTATGTGTTATTCCAGACTATAATCTATCTCTTTTTGCCAAATTTCATTCAGATCCTTTCTATAATATTAGAGTAAAACACGTGTACATTATAAATAAAATCCAGCTAACGGCTTGATCCAGCACTTCAGAAAGTTAAAGTCGAAAATGAAATGATAAGCTACCAAGTACTCAGTTCATTCAGCATTTTCACACGCTCTCCAATTTTACGGACGTATCATCTCAGGATATGCGCTCTAAGGTTGAGTGCTAATCCTGGAGTACCCCTCAAGAGTCCCTGAGTTAAGTGGTCCCGGACCGAAGTGCCCGTACGTGATCCTCAGCCAGAAACATATTCGCAAACCATGGGAACGGAAGCGCTGAGTTGCATAATACCGCTCTGGGGGCATGCAAAAAAACTTTTCCGGTTGGTACTTATTTTAATTTTTTGGTACTTTTGGATTGAATGGTGTGTGTTTTTTTTTTGACATCTGTGTTGGTGTGTTTATGATGAAATGTCACGTTCTTGTTTTTCAGATGGAGTAGGAAGGTAAGTGTGTGCATTGTATAATATTTCCGCTTTTGACAAATTCTGTTGTTTATTACGTTAAAGCACTTGGTGGGGATGGTTGAGCCCTTAACGATACCCTAAACGAGGTTTCTCTAAGTATTAATTATATTATTACCAATTCCAAAAAATGATTGTTTGATCACTATATCACACTAGGATTTCGTCCTATGTCGTAGGTTCACATACACATCACACCCAGACTCAAAACAACAATCTGTGGTACACAATGAGTTGTTTCATGCGGGAATCTAGCCTACGACATTGCACGGCAGCCGGTTGTCCAGACACCGCGTCAAACGTGCAGTCATGTGATCACTATTGGTGATTATTCGTAGCATTAAGTACAAACTTTTGTAGTATATGTATGCTATGTATATAAATGTTTTTGTTGAACATTTTAATAAAATAATGCTTCAGTTTTAAAGAGTGCTTTACTGCCCATGACTTTATGAAATAACAAGATAAGACTAGATCTGGTGACAATAGTGTACCACTCCTGACATCACACATATCTTTGATTTCCCTATGCGACCATATTAACTTTTTTATTATTGGAGCGAGAGAGAGTAGCTATAGCTCTTACTGATTAAAACCACACCATTCCTTTTACTGCTCCAAGCCTTAGCTGCAATATAAGTCTTATTTCGCTTACGGTGTTATGCTGCCGTTATGGGGTTGCAGGAGCCCCATTAAGGTTTGGATTTTTGTTTAATATTAATGTGTTTTCCAAAATATATCTTCTGCTTTTCACCTAAGCACTGCTTTTGTTATTTTAATATAAATAACGATACCTAAGGCTAACTTAATGCTATATGGCATTACCAGTCATTATTTTGCTTCTATACTGAGGCTCTTGCAATCTTCCCAAGGAATCAAACCAAGGGCTTCGAAAATGTATTTTGGTCGCCAACATAATTTCAGGGAGTTTCTATGCAAAATAAAACATTCAAGTTTAGAAAACAGAAAATTTATTGCAATTTTGTAAAATAAATACAATTAAAATCCTTAAAATAATTGTACAAAACGAAACAAAATACAACAATTCTTATTGTACTAAAATTCTAATTAATTCAATAAATTATTCGTTTAACCCTAAAATACTTTGTACGATATTTTTTATATTTCTAAAACGATGCAATGATATTAAAACTAAAATACAAACTAAAGCTATTTACAATTCTTGTACTATCCTAATAATCTCACTTTGGTAAACTGTGGTTAATGAGTTACTTCACTTAAAATAATTAGAACTACTTAATCACCTACTTATTTTAAAGAAAAAACTGGATAAAATGCATTGAAAAGCAAAAATTTTTCACTCGGTACAATGTAAACAATTTACAGAAGTTACAAGTTGTGCAACCATCAAATTTATTGGAATTTAAAATTCGAATTCAACATGGCGCGCGATTTATACACATATTCACACACAAACACGCCAGTAGGTATATCAAGCTAATGAACACATTAAATAGAATTAAATTGAGGTATAATCTATACTGTAATGATTTAATAACACAATGAAGTAAGTATCTTGACGTAAATTGATTAGTGATCTGACAGAAATTGAATAAGAAAAATATGAAAAATTGTGTACGGGTAATCTTGAAGAACATTGATGATTCTTTCTTACATAATGAACTAGTAAACTACATATATGATGTTAATAAGAACATACACAAGTCTAGTCATGAAAAACGAAAATGCAAATACCTAAAGAAAATTGGCGAGTCATACCGAGCGAATTAACACGGGAACATTGCGTAAAATTGTAACACCACCATAATAATGTGATGTGTAAACACAACACAAAACAAATGCTACAAGTGACAATCAATCAATTTACTCGAAGTAAACTAGAAAGTAAAAAAACATCTTCAATTGGTATTCTGCGCGTTACTGTTGCATTATGCATTAGGACATGATTCGGGCGGCGAGACATTAGTTCACCGTCGCTTGCTCGCTGCATACAAAATGTACTATGACTACATGGGACTTGTATGTAAAGATATATTGTCGTGACGTCATCCTTGTATTCCAGCGCAAAACTGCCTTAAATGTATCGCGCGTAATCTATGCAAACTGCGCACTTAATGTTCGATCCTACAGATGTCGTACGCGCATGTCGTTAAAGATATTTATCTGGCTGTTCTGTGTATGTATACAAAGGATGTGCATGGGATTTTAACACTTATAACCATTGTGATTTCGTTATTTGTTTCACAAGGTTCTGTGATAACACGTGTATATGTTACAATTGAGGTTTGTAAATTGTAGAGTAGAGCTAAGCAAGAACGGTTCCCGATTATATGAAGTTTGAAATGAAAGAATGACAAGATAACTTAGAAGTAAAAACAAATATTAAGAATATGTTGCTCGAAGACTGGCACCGAAATACAGAAACCCATACATAGGTCTAACTCAGAATCCTTTAGAGGACGGATAACGAAAAAGCGACAAAGACAATACATACGAACACTGTTTCACAGATTTACCGTCTCAAAAAGCGTAACAAAAGTATTTCATTCACGTTATTCTGATTTGATCTCAAGGTACCAGTTCTGTGGACCGGTTGCCTCTTCATTACTGTACTGAGTTACCAAGAAACGGACGTAACAATACCTACGCACAATCGTTTACGTGCCAGCACTTTATGAGCTCCGCGTACGCTTACAACATTACAAATGAGATACTTCGAAAAAATCACGATAATTCAATCTGGTACAATGTGGGAATTGTATTTCGAAAAAATGCTTCGGAATGTGAATTGTGCCTGATTTCAATTTGAAATACGTATTGATGTTGTACGAAGTAAGTTCACCGATTTTCCCGACTCTAAGAGTTACCTTAAGGTAGCAAAATCACACCAAGATTCGACAAACGGCTTTCAAAACATCTCACAGTTCAATCACTGGCACTGATTCCGAATATACATCACTTGATCTAGTTCCCTGTGAACGAAATAGCTACAACGAGTACAACATACTCAATCATTCCTGACATCACACCGCTAATTGATGACAAAACTAAATATAAAGAACACACATTCATCTCAAACGCAACAAACATACTAAAAAATAAAACATTTCAGACGGATGTCAAAGGAGAGATGTTCAAAAAATTCTGGCATCCCATGACGCATATTTGTAAAACGTTAACCGACGCCCTACATCACTTGGAACGATTAGTGTCGTCTACCGGATTTAACCACGACTATGTCATTAGACCAGCCACTTCCCTAATTCCTACACATCTCTAACACAACTCAACTCACACTATCTCTCTTACACCAGCCGCCAAAGACAAGGATAGAAAAAATACATTTGACGTAAATATGTGAGGATGATGGTGTTACCGGAACAGTCGTTAGATCAATCGACGTGCGGCGCTACATCGGGAACAGTCCAGCATTTGTCACCGGACCACCGGCGCCGCCGTATTTATAGCGACGCCTGCGCAACCCGTGGGCGGCGACACATCCACTCTCATATTAAGACAATAGTTAAAATATAAACAACAATCTACATAATTACCCTTGATTCCCTCACGATAGCTTTGCCTAACTAATACTGTTTTTACATTATTTACACTACCTACTCTTATAATTGTACTTTAATTTAACGCCTACTTAGCCAATATTACATCTATCTAAAACACTACACAATTCTTCACTCGAATAGTCTCTTCTATGGCAGTGTCCTTATGACAAAGTTCGTATTATACACTTTAAACTATTGGATGTTTCCGTTGCGTTGGTATCACGTGATGAAGCTGTTACTGCACACGGATATCAACGCTATGAGCCCGGATATTCGGACTAAATTCGCTGCACTGACCACTGGCACTTCTTCCACGGGGAGTTTTTTAGGTTTCTCTCCATGTCTATCGTGGTTCGTTGTGTGGTTTTTCATCTTGTGGTAGCATAGCCTCGCTAGATTGTTCTGCATCCTCGGGCAGTCGTAGTCGTTGCCGTCACACTGGCACGCTGTTAGCGCTGCAGCTTTCTTCTGCTTTCTTAGGATTTCTATGGAGTTTAGGCACTTTTTTGAGCATTTTCTGCCTCTGAACATGGAGCGGCATAGCCTGTGGTAGTATTGCAAGGCGGTGGAACATTGCGCATCAGCAAGGCAGATGAGCTGCGAGAGGCTGCAAGACGACGTGGCGTTGGCAGCTCCCTTCATAACCTGCGGTCGACAGATATCGATGCGTTGCTTCGCCTCCAAGCAATACTCGTCTTCACATTCACACTGTAACAAAGAAAGGTTTCAATTAGTTAAAGTTATTAACTATCAAGACAAGAGCAGTGACATAGGAACAGTGTTTGTTATGTGCTTGTAATTGCTTTATTTTGTTAAACATTTGGTCTAAATTTAATACAATATAAGTTAGAAAATTTGTTAAATAATCTCTGGTACAGTCAGTTTTTTGATTCACACAGAAATCTATTAAATTGTATTAAGTAAATGTTTATACAGGTACATTGGACACGCACAATTTCCAACTTCAACATACTGACTTTAAGAACAAAACACGATACGTCGAAAGAAAATCTATTAATACTTCAATGTAATAAAATTTAGGGAAACTCGTAAATCGCAGCGGCCCATGGCGCATAATAATAACGTTGTACGAACGTAAAATACATTTTACGACACCAAACATTCCGGAATCTATCCGCTATCACAACACAGTGTGATTTGTGAAATTTATAACACGACACGGCTTACATTTTACATAAACGTTAAATAGGCGACTCATTATACGAGTACAAGCTTACTAAATAACTTATTGAGTTATTTCCAAGGCCTAAGAAACAAATGGCGATACATTTAAACAGCCAACATTTACATGAAAACCAAAGGATCACGAAACACATAAGAATGCAGTCATGAATAACTAATACTGTATAAAATCGTCGTCTCACTCGAAAACGAACGACCTCGAAAATTGGCAGTTGCTTCGTTACGATGCAACAATCGGCCACGCTCTCAAATTTAAGGTCAATTTACCGGATATCTAGCTCGGATTAATGAAGACACGGCCGCCCGTCTTACGCTTAGTTTTTGTGAGAGCGTAGCAACACCTGCGCAAGAGTCGGCGCTGCGGTAGGTCCCGATCAAGACGTCAAATCTCAAGGCTGAATGCGGCCGCTCCTTTGCTCTGCCTTTCGATGTATATTGCCCAACGTAGTACTCGTAATCACACTCCCTACTACGATATAATTAAAGGTTCGACCGGTTTACGTTGAAACTCTTGTTTATCTATGCACAGCGTACCATTAGGTAAGTATGAACGACAAAGCCACACAGTGACACCTGCTTTGCCTACATATGTATAAGTAAAACATAATGCTTATTTAATACGATAGTACGAAAGTGTTCTTTTGGTAAAAAGTGAATATATCGAGTATGGTGTAATGCTTTGTGTAATTTAGTGCAAGGAAACACCTGCGCTACGGCGGGGGTCCGCGCTGTCAGAAACCGAAGGCTTTTATTGATTCAAATGCAAATAATTTTACTATTTTATTTCTTCATTACGTTACTCCCAACGTCTGCAGTATACTAAATTTACTTAATTTATTGCGGTACTCAGAAACATTTAATTATTACTTAAATAATTTCTTATTAATTTGTTAGAGACTGGGTTAATAAACCGTGAAATTAATTTCTCTATTAGTCTAATTAGTTGGACTAAAAATATATGTATACCTATATTTAATATAGGTACATACCTATTTGCCATTACAAAAATGGTATATAAATATAATAGAGGTTTAGTTCGACAAAGATTTAAAATATGTCGATAATATTAGTTAAAGTCTCGATTTAGCTAAGCTCAACTCACTTGCATATGATAAATACAATAAAAACTTACTTGCAAAGCAAATAAACTATGTGTACACTAATATAAAACTATCTTATATCTTTAAATAGGTAAGCAATAAAATCTTATTGCAATGATTACACTACACACACTTACTTTAAACACACAAATAATAAAACTATTCCCATTTATTTACATAACGACATATATGTACAATTCAAACTACACTACGTACCTACAACTAATACAGATAATTTACTACTGATGACGGCTCGATTACTTGAAAATCGTTTTATTGCTAACAAAATAAGATAAGATTAAGAGGCCTAATAAAATTATCTAATTAATTGTGTGGGTTTATGTACTTACATATATCGTGCAGATACTAAAAGTATGTCAGTGTATAAAGGTAATACAGGTGTGTAGTTAGGAATATAAAATTGCACCTGTTTAGTTCAAAACGAGGTTATTACCGTAGTGGCCCTAAGGTTAAAGTTCCCGCTTCACATGAATTGCATGGCTTTTTCTAAGATATATAAACTTTTTAGTGTATTTACACACCGTTGACAAACAAGAAAGGAAAGAGGTCGTGCGGAAACCAGCACGTCGATTCTATAAAATTTGTTTGATTTTGAATCTTGTTCGAGTGCGAAGTGAGTGTCGAAGTGACGGGGTAATTAAATTTTAGAATGTCACTTTTAACGTCATCTCATACTTTATCTATCAAAATGTTGCTGTCAATTTAGTTCAACTCGCAAGTGTAGCGCTAGTGTAAACTACTCACGGCGGATTCAGATTCGAAGTTTAGAATGAAGTCTTACAGAATCACACCCCTGGTCTTATAATTTCTATACTCGGAATTTTAATTCCATTCCAGATTTGACAATTTCAGTGTTGCAGCGTTATGACACGTACTAAATAGTGACGTTGAGAAATTATTCGATATGGAAATCGAATATTTCTGAATCGATTCCTCTAGTTTATAAATGTACGCTCGTAAACTAAGTTTATCAGGAAATAAAATATTTCTGGACCGATAATTTAGTTTTGACAATTAATTAACGATCTGAGACTTTTCTTTTGTAATTGTGTGTGAAATTAATAAAAAATGTGATCATGAAGGAACATGACAAATAAAACAGACATTTTATAAATTTTCGCCGTCATCGCTATCGCTATCGCTGTTACTTTCTGTAATATTTATTATGAATTGTGTCTGTGATATTTATTGTCAATTAACATATCTAGCTAACTAATTTTATCCTCTTCTTTGACAACATGGGATACGCATTTAGACCATTCGGCAGCCGTAATTTTTTGAATGCCGTCTTGAAACTGATTCACTGATTGTTTATCGATTTTTGTGTTCATCACTACACTGTTTTATGTGGTATCATTATTTCACAAAATGAGAGGTCATGTCAAATCAGGAATCGAATTAAAATTCTGACTATAATTATAAGTTATAAAGTCATTTGTTAATCCATGGTGATTAATGCTCAAAACCTTCGCCATATAAAAGGAGGCCATTGCTCAGTAGTGGGCACTTGTAGGATGATGATTTTTGTTGTTGTTTTTTGCGTTACTTGCCTACATTTGTGCACTTGCACCCATAATCCCAGCTGAACATAAACACTATTGAATCCCAGCCTACAATGAGATTATTGTACGCAAAATGTTTATCCTTCTGAATCCAGGGTGTCTATTAAGCTATTGAAAATTACATGAGCGAATAATTATTGTTCCACTAAACTTATACAGAAATCTCCCTCATCTTACGCAAAAATTGGAGACAGTTAGATAAAAGAGATATTCGAGTTTTCCTTAACAACTACTTTCTTCTCTTTCTCATTTATAAGAAGTAAACATTGCTAAAACAAAATTGAAGATTTCGTATCAAGTTCTTTATTTAGTAGACATTATTTTGATACAGTGCATTCTCCTTACAGAAATATCCTATCTGCAAGCTGACTGCTGGTTACAAGTGCATTAGCACCACTTGAGGCCACATGTAGTAGTAAAGTGTTAATTGAATTATGAAAATTATGCGTTCAATATATCCAAACCTACATATCTACATATGTAGTCCCCATGAAATATAACTAAAATATACTCATTGTAAGAAATTTAAAAACTGATAGACCTGTATCGTTCAAAATGTGCAAATGATTACTTTTTTCGTAATACCTATGTATTTTCCAAAATAATTAGGCTAACTAAACTTTACTGAAAGTAACGTAAGTTACTTAAGTACACTCACATGAATTAATTGAAGAAAAGTTCTACTATATAGTTTCAAGTAACAAATGGGGTCTCGTGAGAAGAGTGCGCGTCGCGGTAACAAATGGCAGCCGACTCAATCCTTCTTTTTTGAATAGTAGGTAACTCAAGAGGTCATGATAGCTACAAACGAAAAATGAGTCCATCAACAAAAAAATATAGCGCAAACCTCAATGTGAAACAAAATATTGGCAATGAATACATAACAAAATGCTTACAAACATAACCTAACCTTTTACGCCAATTTTCTGCCATCGTCTCAAGCACGAAACGTTTCACACGTCCAGTACACAAACATTCAATAAAGCTTGTGGAAACAATAATAAAGCCAAAAGTACGCAAACTCTGTTTATCACGTGGCCCTTAAACGTGATCCAATGGCCAACATTCTTCGCACATTTCTCCCCAATTTAGATTCATGAAATCTTTATAGCCCGCAAATGAACGCCGAATACCGAATGGCGCGAAATCATTCAAAATGGCGATTGTACATTCGAAACAGTTTTCGGAATTTTGATGATTGATGATTTGACATCGTATATTTTTTAAGGTCTTCTTGCTGTACTTTTTGTTTTACTTTTTGCTTATAATTTGAATATTATCAACATCATATCACTCTTGGTTCAGCCACTGCTGCATACAGGGTCTGTTTGTGATTTTTGATTCTATATTTCTATAATTTTATTTTCAATAGAAAACGTTTTCTGATAAGTCTAAAATTACTGTTCAACCGCGATAATAACACCTCATTTTAGTATGTAACCATAAAACAATATCGCTATTCGAACATGTTAGCTACACGCTATTCCTTTCATGTCCAAGACCATGAAATTTCAATCGTCTGAGTGTTTGTTTGACCGCACTCGTAGGCTAGCGCGCGGAATTAAAACTCGGTCCAGCGCAACGTGCTAGGTACCAAGTTAGTTCACGAACGAGGTCGTCAACCGCGACCCTCGACGTCGTTCCTTCGTGTCGGACAAATCTGCCCACAACGTCTAAATTAGATTTTATTGCGGGCGTCTGCTACATGCACCTATACAGAACCAAGTAAGCAAGACCTTTACAATACCACGTCACATAACTAACAACGGTTCCTAACTTACTGGTCGTATCCCCAATTGAGTGAGGCGTAAGCTGTAAACAG